CAAAATTCTTTTTCAAACGTGGAGTTTTGTCTATAAATATAGTATGTGGGTATTTTAGAATTTTTGAACAACATAATATTATTATGATATTAGTGATTGTGATAGTAGTAATATTAATCATTATTCATTATTATATATTTTTAATTTATAATAGACGATAGTTAGTACCAAATATGGACAAGTATGTCATAAAAAAAAGAAAAACCAATAATGATTTAATACAAAGTAAGTTCATATTAATTCAATATTGTGTAGGTAGTGTGTACTGTAACCTACTAAAAAAATAACTAGTAAGAGCATTGTAATTTCTATTTTATAGCATATTAAGTTGTAATATTCTATTATGCCCATAGTGATTTATAATTTAGTATATTATAGCTCTACAGCATATTATAAATATGTATTGTTAAATGTAATATGTATTTATTTGAAGCCTAAAATATGTTGAAATATTTAAAAAAACTTTAAGTTAGGTATTATAATTTATAATTTATTATAAATTGGATTTTAAAGAATTGACTAGTTATTTTGTCTTGTTTAATAAAATGTTTAACTGGCCAAAGGATATACAAACATAATATAACCTTATACCAGTTTATTCAGTTTATTTAACTAACAAGTTAATAAACGATTTTTATAATGACTAATTTATTTAAGTCCTGATTTGAGTTTTCATTGTATTTTGTAGTTGGATTGTGTGCTAATGAGCCTACTGTAATATGACCCAAATAGTAGAAAAACAACAATTTATATTAGATCCATGTTTTGAAAAGTTACCAGTTACAAAGGGTAGAAAGATGTTAGGTGTATTTGTTACAGACAATCAAAAACTGCTTTATTGTTATGTAAGAAAAAAAATCATTTGCCTCCTGTCTGTTCTAAAAGTGGTTGTGCACCTCGAGCATCCAAACTAAAAAACATATTGAATCACATACGCATAAAGAATGTGTAAAAGTTGACCAATTGTCAAAATTATCTGTTTCTGAGGTACACAATAGTGTGTCCTCTGAAATTAGATGCATTTTAGGCCCTGCTGTGTACTGCAACTTGAATAAAAATATGAAAAACAATAATATTATAGGTAATAAACTATTCTTAATTATAATTTCCCGGTTTGTTTTTGTATTATTTTTGTTGTTTATTTCAAAAGGTTACTATAGATGAGGTAGTAAATCTTTCCCAAGTACGATTTTCTAACACTACATCAGCATTATGTTTATCATCTAAATTTTTACTCGTAGCATACACATATCGTGTTCACGCCAAGCAACACCCAGTGTATTTATTTCCTTTATCACCACTATCTAGTATCTTTTTTAAATTCTTACCGGGTTCATAATACTGATAGTCTGAAACATAAACTTCAACTAAAAGACTATTTATAAGGAAGTTTACAAATCCTTTACCAGTATTGTTTAATTCACACTTACGGGTTGAATGCGCCATCAATAACTGATTAACAATTGTAAATTCTAGTGAATTTATAAGAAATGAAAATGGATTTGATTGAACAGAAAGATAAATTAGATGTTATAAATGTAGATGTTCAGATAGTAAAAAAACCCTCAAGGCAAGGTTCGTTATTACCTGATACTATAAGAGCTATACTAGTGGGTCCTAGTTCATCAGGCAAAACAAATATAATGTATAATCTGATCACTCATGCAAACGGGTTAAGATTTGAAAATATTTATTTATACTCTAAAACCTCAATTCAGGAAAAATATGTTTTATTTAAAAAAATAATAGATGATATACAAGGTGCCAATTTTTTCATATTTACAAGCGCCGATAAGGTTATAAAACCGAACTTGACTAAAAAAAATTCTATTATAATAATATGTGGACCACAATCTGTTATCAGAGAATACTTCAGCATGTGCAGACATTCAGGTGCTAGCTCTGTATTTTATTTCGTCAATACCCAAACGGCTCCCGTCTATTGTTTATTATTCCCAAACGGCTCCCGTCAAAAAAGGTTTTACGAACAGGTCAATACCCAAACGGCTCCCGTCGAAAAAGGTTTTACGAACAGGTCAATACCCAAACGGCTCCCGTCGAAAAAAGTGGTAGAATACGATTCGGTAAGGTCACATTTTAAGACACACGATTTTACAATATTTTTATATATTTTTTTTATATTTTGTAATTATATTTTATTTTATTTTATTTATATTTTATATTTTATATATGTTACGGGCAAAGTGGAAAATTCTTATAAAGTATAAATAGTTATATGCTACGTCTATCCTTTGGTTAAACTCTAATGACATTTGATGTCAATGCACTATAATGTAGTAGTATCATAATCGCCAAAGCTTGTGTATATTATTTCGTCGTGTATATATGACTCGTATATCATCGATATCTAATCTATAGCATATTGGAAATATCGACCGATTATGCGATAATAGATAATGGATATGGCACACAATCGTGTCGGCTTGTGCAGTTCGTTTGAACTTCAGTCTGTTCACAATATCCGCCGCCGTCGTGTTGTGTGTATGTTCCGAGATGTCAAGTGAAATCCGTGAAAAAAAATGTATAGAACATTTTTGGTTTTCTTTTCACAAAAAACTCGCTGACGACGCGGAGCGTTGGAAATGTACAACACGTAGCTGTAAGGCTTATTTTAAGCAAAACAGTATTGGTGAAAGGTACGATGAACATCTGGACCATAACCACGAGCAATTAGATGTCAGTGTTTTAAGGAGGAGGGAGATTAGCAATAGCTTAAAGCGTAAAGCGCAAGAAAATTTGCACGAAAGGCCCGCGAAACTTCTCCGAAGTGAACTTGTACCTAATGATTTACATGTTTTGACCACACAAGATGTCAATGCTATTCGTAAGACAGTATATTATGCACGTTCAAAATTACTACCAAAATTACCTAAATCGACAGAGGAAGCGCAGGATGCTTTAGATAAAATTGGTATTAAGACTTTGACAGGCGAGAATTTTTTATTTCATAATGATACAGCTTCAAATATTGTTATTCTTACATGTAACACCAACTTGAACATTCTCAAGAATAGCCGTAGTATTTATGTTGATGGCACGTTTAAGTGTTGTCCAAAATTTTTTTACCAAATGTTTACCATCCATGTTTTACATAACGGATACTATCTTCCTCTGATTTACTGTTTTTTGCCTAATAAAACCTCGGTTACCTACGGAAAAGCTTTTTCAGCATTTTTTTTTATATTTTTATACATAATTTTTTTTTATATTTTTACATTATATTTTACATTTAATTCACAGAATATAATTTTTATAATTTAACCTTAAAAAACAACAACACATTTTTAACCACACCTCTTTAGAGACAGTCCTAAGTCTGTATGAAGTGGGAAGGAATTTGTGTTGTAAAAAACAGAATTACTACACGTATTTTACCTGATTGTAAAACTTTTTTCGATGGGAGCCGTTTGGGTATTGACCTGTTCGTAAAACCTTTTTTGACGGGAGCCGTTTGGGAATTAACCTTTTTGAAAACGGGAGCCGTTTAGGAAAATCGGGAGCCGAATGGGCTATGCCCTTTTATTTAGCACAAACATATTCTAAAACATCGAAACAGCTAATAAATAAGAGATAACTCAAACTTTTTAATGATACTGAAACAAGATGACACAAATTTACGACATATATTCAACGATCATTCCTCTGCAGATATGGATTTCTCAGAATTTCGGAAAATGGCACATTTTTGTTGGAATTACAGTGATTACGGGTTTATGGTTATCGATAAAACTCGGGAACTGAATGAAGGAAGATATAGATGTGGCTTCCATATGTTTATTAAAATAAAATAATTATATGTACCTATAAACACAGTAGTTATCTACATAGTGTTATCAATAGTCACACAATACAGTTATATTAAATTTATTATTTACAATGAGCAAAGAAAAACTTTTGTTAGAAAATTTAATAGCATGGAATAGCAATTTAAATCATGGAAATGAAACGTGGGGTTATAGATTCTGACAACTATTTCCGAGAAGCATTTAAACCAATAATGGAACCACTGTGTGCACGAACAGAAAAAAATACATTATGCAACTCACAGCCTACTGAACTAAAAAATACAGAGGCCCTATGTGTAAGTGATAACGATAATGGCGATGAATTAAATTTATCATTTGAGAATTTTTTGGATAATAAACGTCCTAAATCGATTCGATATGATAAATCCTATAGTATGCATTATCCCATATAGCAGAGAAATATTTTATGTATATTTCTTGTATATCCATTATGAAATAAGTATATCTGTATAACATCTAAAATAAGGCCATCGAAAATATATTGATATACAAGAGATATACATTATATGTCTTATGAACGGTAAATGGTAATCCCCTGGATATCTTAAATCAAACATCATATTATCAATATGCGTAGAATATCCTCTGTATATGCTTAAACATCTAATAAATATCCAAAGAATAATGATTGGTTATTCAAATTGCAACATCTATAAAACATACGTCCAATATATATGTATACAAGGATATTCATTATATATCTTTTTGTTTATATACAATAGACATTGCTTATATTATTATTATTATACTGTTTGGATTTTTGTGAAATAATTAAAAATAGTTTTGGTGAATATATAATATAATACCTAATATAATTAGGTAATATGTTTATTTTTTTTAAATAATTCTGACATTTCTTAGAATAATATAAATATTTAACAAAAGAGTAATAATTATATATTTTTTTAAATAATAATAACACATCAAAACTTTAAAAATTGAAATAAAATATGAATTTTTATAAGAATATAAAAATATCAAAAAGTAATATTAAAAAAAACTTAATATAATAAAATTGTTTGTATTTAACAGCTGTATATAATAATAAGGTATAATATATATAAAAAAAAACAAATAAAAACAATATTATATAGTGACCTTTTAAATCTGTTGATTTATTTAAATACGAATAATAATATGACAAAACAAAAAAAATGGTGAAACCCAAATACATTATTTACCCTCAATTCTTCCTTTTGCACTTGTTAGCCATTTAGCAATTGAAGTTATAATTTCATCGTCATTAGAAGCATTATACTTGGACTTTTTTACAGCATCTATAATACAATATTAACACATTTAATGTAAAGTGTATAACACTTATTAAAAATGTTTATATTTAAAGTTATTTTTCAAAATTGCCTTTTACCGTTTTTGATCAAATTAAGATTTTTAAGAAGCAACTATAATAACTTTAATAAAAATTAAAAATTCATTTATGGTACATATTTATCATTATATTTATTAGGTAGGTATTAGGTATTGTTAAATTATTATGTTAACAAAATAAATCAAAAAATTATAAATTCTTCATAAAAGATGGCAAATGAAATATACTATATAATAATAATAAATATTAAGTTTAGGAAAAATGTTAAGTAGTTTTGTTTCAAAACAGGGAATTACTATTTGCTCTTTCCAAACTCAACTTTTATTAGGAAAATTTTGCAACAGATGTATAAAAATTAAAAAAAAATTCTAAATATTATTTTTTTTTTAAATTTTGATTATATAGCATTTAAGTTAAGACAATTAAACTTTTATTTGAAAGATATATTTTATGAAAAGAACCATTACCTATTTTAGGTTTAAATATCATAAAAATAATTAGCAAATATAAATTATCTAAGCAATTCATAGAATAAAAAATGTTTAATATTTGTTCAATAACATAAATTATAATCTTACCAAAGATTAATTTGTTAATAGACAACAATGAAAAATTATTTTTGTTCCTTAAACCATAATATGTATACTGCATTAACAATCTATCATCAAAAACATTCTGCATTATCTTATAAATTATATTTTTTAAAGATTTTCCGCCAATTCTAGCTAGTTCGCATACCTATTAAATGAAGAATATTTATGAAAGATTACATTGTGTAGTTACATTGTGTACAGAGGGATCACATACAACTTGTTTTTTAAAATTCATGTCAGTTTGTATTTTGTCTTCTAAATTATTAAGTCCTTCGTTATCTAAAATTGGCCAACTTGATATGAAATAATCGACTTCGTTATTATTATAAATGAACTCATCTTGTGCACTTCTTGAGATTTTTGATGATGATTTTATATCCAACAACATTTGCTCTATATTTTGCTGCTTATCACTTATTCTTGTTACTTCTGTTTTTAAATAGGCCAAATAATTCAAAACTGTTTTTTCAAAACCTATCAAAAAATTTATATTTTGATAAATGTACCAACAATTAATTTAGTGGAGTTATTAAATTGTCTAGTACTATTATTATTGTAATAAACTCTTACCTGTAGTATGTATCGATGGAGAGATTACAGCCAATGACGGCTGTAAACTATGAAATGGAGAAGAACCAATTGAATTTAGTTCATGCTGTGTGCCATGTAGTTGAACATCATTAATATTTTTCAAACCTATATGGATTACAAAAACGATTTTATAGTATACATAAGTAGGAAAAAATAATTACAATTCACTTTCTAAACGTCCAATTATTTATATACAGGTAATTCAATTTATTTTATAGTTAAGGCGATTGGAAGCAGCGTATTTATTTCACGTTTTGGACCTAAAAGCCTGACAAGATTACGCACACTTAAAATGATCATATTTTAATTCTGTAAAAAGATTTGAGTTTATCGACCTTTTTTCTAGGTTATTGTGGAAATCGATTTTTGATATTTTTTTAAAAATTATTTTTAAATCATTTTTGAGTTTCTAAATTTTTTTTTAATTTTTAGATTTACTTAAGTGTCTTTTTTAATAATGTTAAACAGTTATTCTAAAATTGACTTCCACAATAACCTAAAAAACACAATGACAAGTACAAATATTTTTACAGAATTAAAATACGATCATTTTGAGTTGACGTATTTTTGTCAGGCTTTTAGGTCTACATTGATAGAAATTAGTTTCCTTGTCGGAACAAAATATTTTATTTCATCNTAAAGACAATAGAAATTTTAAATTATATACTAATAAGTAATAACCTGTTGAGCTGCTTTAGTTTCCATTCTTTTATTACGATTTGTAGTTGACGTAGAGACTTCATCACCTTGAATAAAATGACATGGCAAGTTTAAGGTTGGAATGGCATCAGGTTTTAATCGGCGCCCTTTAGGAGTGTAGCCTAAAAGTTCAGCTTGTAAATTACGAACGTAATCATCATTTTTAAAATGATCTGAACATATGAATGATGAGCTAGGGTTCCACTTATCCGCACGTTTACATTTGTGTATCCACTGTTTCTGATAAAACAGGTCCTTTGGAAACCTAAATATAAGACATATTTTTAAACCATAAAATTAGATGAACTATAGGTCTAGTATAGGGAAATTTAAAAAGTAGTATATTAATTTCTTATTTCGGATATAAAGTAACTTAATTACATTTAAGGTATTCATTGAATAATGAATTTAATTATAATATATAATTTAGACAACTAATTGTACACCGTGTACACTAAAATGGTTAAATATTTATATCTTTAGGTAATAGGGGTTTCTACTGAAGCTGTATTAAAATAAACACTAAACAGCCATTAAAAATTACCTCAAAACAAATGTATTATGAGTAAAAAAGTGAATAAACATTTAATATAAGTAATAATATTATATATTCAACTATGATATTATAAACTTTAAATTTATAAAATTGATAAATACCTATTGATATCATAATACACTCAAAAAATGTATTAATTTCATTGTATTTGCCAAGTTTTTTTAAATTAATCAAAGTTGGTGAACTTTGATTGACTGTAATTATATTATTATTGTTATAATAGCTAGATTGAATACAGTAATAATATAAAAATCAAATGTATTTACCTGTGGAATGAAATATCAGTTCTCCCTTCATTTTTCGATTTTGCAGAATAATTAACGCAAGTAGATACCGCGCAAACAGAACCACCTTTAGGTTTATTTGTTTCATTCGTAGCCATAATTATTCAAATTAAAACACTATTTATTTAAATAAATAAACGAAGCGAAAGTACGAAACTAGGTACATAAAAACATAATATGAAACACTTGTCATCGTTTATAGTTTGTACGACGATGACGTCACAGCGTCATTTTCTCCCACTCCTGTTTTTTCGATATTTTCAAAATGAGGCAACCTGTATAATCTATAAACCTTGTATATAATATACGTCATATCAAGTTCTAAAACGAAAAGGTTAGCCAGTTATCATGATATTTTCTGATTGGCTATTGTCCGTGACCCGTGTGTCATATATGCTAGATCAAAAGAGCGGTTTTCATACAATACGTCTTGTTATCAATAATCTATATTCTATCTCATATGATTGCCCGAGCGTTATGCTTGAGCTGTCTCGTTTGTTGTTTCTGTATTATTGTTACAGACTTACAGTGTAAATTGTGAATTTTGGACTCGTGCTTAAAATTTCAAAAGCTTAAAGATTATTATCTATTTTTTAATTTTTGAAAAACGCTATTGTTCTGTTTAGAACAGTATGAGTAAAATAACAAAAACAAAAAAAACATTACACCAATATTTCACTAAAAAATCGACATCTCCTGGCAAAGATGAAACAAATGATACAATCGTCAGCAATGGTAAGTTGCTAAAATACTTTATACTGTTCTGTGTTATAACTAATTATACTAAAATGTATTATGTACTAATATTAAATTGTTTATGTTTAATTTGTTTATTTTGTTAGATGTACGATCAGAAACATTCATTGAACAATCCTGTCCTGATGATCTATTACATGCAAGTTCCTCAACTTCAGTTACAATAACAGCTATAGAATCTACTGGTACAATTGCAGAAACTTGTTATATACCTACTTAAACAAATAAATATATTTGTTTATTTTTTTCATACTTTTTTAGAACAATCTCACCAACATTTGCTCAAGCCAGATGCTACTACTCTAAATACACAAAACGAGCCATCCGGTATATATTATTTATAGTTATACAGCATTAATTTACATGGAAATAAATGTTTGTGTCATTGTTGTTGGTCGTTGGATATACTTACCTATCCAGGTTTTTTTTTTTGTGGACATAACTTGCTAGTTAGACATTTATGTGCAAATAGTTATTGAGGTATGAATAATAATGTAACGGGTAAGTACCCACTACTCAGTGTTAAGTAAATTATTAATAAAGTACAAATACCAGTGGACAGTGGCGTTTTTCTATAAATATGTGTAAACTGTATTACTTAATCATTGTGTAACTTCATGCATTACCTAACTGCTTTACTTAACTAGTAGTTAATGCTTTATATATAATGTAGTTAAATATATAAACATTCAATGCATGTATATATTATGTAGTATTTTAGTTATTTATTTGTATTAAGATTATAAAAAATTGATCAGTTTTGTTGAATAACACATTTGGCGCCTATTTCTTTAACTTAAAATGAATATAATATGAAATATAAAGGACTCTATTATTAATGATATTCAACAAGCCATTATTTTTAGCATAATTGTAGATGAAACACAAGATCTTGCTAGACACGAACAAGTGTCAGTATGTGTAAGATATGTTTCGAAAACATTGGAACCTCATGAAGTATTTTTAGGATTTTATCGAACAGCATCAACAGATGGAGAGTCATTAACTACTTTAATAAAAGAAGTAATCTTATCAAATGGTTTGAGTATTAACAACATAAGAGGCCAATGTTATGATGGCGCTGCATCAATGCGTGGCTCTTACAGTGGGGTCCAGGCAAGAATTCGTGATGAAAATAAACTAGCTGTATACGTTCATTGTTACGCTCATATTCTTAACCTATGTCTTGTAGATCTTTCTAAAGTAATACCTCATGTGAGAAACACATTTGGTACTCTTCAATCATTGTATTCATTTATAGGTGCTTCATCAAAACGATACAGTATTTTTGAACAAATAATGTTAGAAACATCTTCTAATGGAAAAAATAAATTAAAATCCTTAAGTGACACACGGTGGAATTGCCGCATAAAATCAATAAAAGCAGTTATTAAAACATTGCCAGTTATACTAAAAACATTAGAAACAATTTCAGAAAATGACTCTTTACATGGATCAGATGCTAGTAGTTTATTGAATAATATTCAGACATTTCAGTTTGTATTTTGTTTGTACACTTTAAATAAAATAATGGAACAAACTAATATACTTTCAAAGTATTTACAATCTCCATCGATAAATTATGCCACAGTCAATATTATGTCACAGAAAATTATTGATGAATTAAATGAGTATCGCTCTGAAAATGCATTTAATGAAATTTGGAAGGTCACGCAAGTCAATAGTTATGATTTCCTATCACCTAAGATGCCTCGCAAAAGAAGTTTACCAGTTAAAAAAATTGGTGGTGGTTCAATTCATCCAGAGTTTACAGATGTCAAGGATTTTTATAGAATAGAAATGTATTATTTAATTCTTGACACAATCACACAAGCAATAAAAGACAAGTTTAATGAAAATGATTTAAAGATTTTAAACTCAATAAACAACATTTTAGTTAATGAGAATCCTGATTTATCTGATATTCAGGAAGTTAGTGCAGTATATAGATTTGATGTAAATGAATTGAAGTCTGAAATAATTATTTTCAATAGAATGTTTATCAGTTTGAAAAAAGAAGTTAACTTTGAAAATAAATTAGCATATATAAAAAAAGTTGAAGTTGGGAGTGGTTTCCCTATATTAGTAGATGTATTTAAATTATTTTTGACTATACCAATGAACAGTGCATCGTGCGAAAGAAGCTTTTCGTGCTTAAGAAGATTAAAAAATTACTTAAGAACAACCATGGGCCAAACAAGATTAAGTGACTTAGGTTTATTATATATACATAAAGATAAAGAAGTAAATAAAGATGCAGTTATCGACGAATTTTGTGCTGACAACAAACGTCGAATTAATTTAAAATAAATATTTGAGTACTGATACATTTAATATATGTTTGTATCTAATGTTTTCTAATGTATATAATTTGTTTTTAATTAATGTAACAGTTAAAAAAAATAATATAGTTCAATCAAAATTTTAAATATACATATGCATTTTTATTGTACAAAATAAAGATTAAACCTATAAAAATTATTTTTTCACTTTCTAAAAATAAACTTTGCTACCCTAGAATTTGGACTCTAGTGACGCCCATGTGCTTGCAGTCTGCAGTATTAATTTGATTTCTAAAGAGGTAATTACAGAGGATGACACTATTAAATTTTAATAGTTTACTATATATATTATAATTTTTTTTAAATATAAGTGGATATTTATTATTTAATCAATGACTCCACAATAGTGTTAGTAGGAGAATTAGAACTTCTTGTTTTCCTTATTTCAACTGACTTCGACTATACGCACTTGACAGTATTTAAGAGTTTACTAATTTAGACATCAAAAATCAAAATACAACCGATTTCAATACAAATATAATACCTATAATAACTTTTTAGTACCGTCGTCCATCTTTATGCTATCGCTAATCGCTATCTCAAGCACCTATCTGTGGTCTGTGGGTGGTAGGCCTATATTGATTTAATAATAATACACATTTTAAATTGTCTTAATATTTCAGGGGGGCTANTATCAGGTTTCAGATTTAGTTGCACCGGTTGCTGTTGGTGATGAAATTATTTGTAGCAATTACTTACAAAAGTATGTATTATAAACTAGGTACAATAAGTTGTAAAAAATGACGAATAATTTACATTATATTTGTATAACAGACATGATAATCAAACTCAGATCGAGGTTGAAAGAAAAAATATAAATTCTAATACCGGCGAAAAATCATTAAATAATATAATTCCTGTCGAGTAAGTGTTGGAGTAATTTTATAAAATTGAAAATTAAAATTAAAAATAATTTATAATTTTTAAAGGGTGAAATGTAGTGGTCGACGTTTAGTTGATATAATGTTTTTATTTGATGCCATTAAAAATATTGAACACCACCCATTCGACTGTACTTTCAAAAACTTAATGTTGGTAAAAGAAATCAGAAATGGATTTTTTTCTGAATTCGTTTTTATGTGTAATTTTTGTAACAAACAAGAAATAATTACAAATGAAAATCGCGCTAGTATGCCTGTAAATTCGGCAATGGTGGCTGCAATCGTAAATACTGGCCAAGGGTATACACAACTAGACACATTTTCAGCTTTTTTAAATATGCCTAATAAGAGTAATCCGTTATATCAAAAAATTCATAATGACTTAATTAAACACACCGAGAACACAGCTATAGAAGCAATGGAAATGGCTGGTAAAGAAGAGGCTAGACTTGCAGTGGAAGAAAATAACGTAAATGAAAATGGAATACCACTAATTACGGTTGTAGCCAGGGCCGGCGCAAGAAGTATTGGCGCCCTGGGCGAAACCATGTTTTGGCGCCCTTACCCCCCCCCCCCCCCCCCACCTAGTTTGAGTAGTAGTAAAATTAAGTTTTTTAGTAAGTTAAATACAATTAGTATGTATTTTGTATCATAATTTTAAACTTTATTACCTGATCGTACAATATTGTAAAAAGGTTACACATATTATTTTATTAACTTATAAAATTGACGCATTGCGTAAAAGAAAAAATTAAAAATAAAAATAATATTAATTTTAAACTTATAACTATAATCAATATTAAAACTTAACTTTTCTAGCTTTTAATTCAGAAAACTGTTTGATTGCTTCTTCATAATTTACTTTATCGGCTAAATCATTTTCAATTGACAAAATTGCTAATGAAGAAAGTCTATCATCTGTCATCGAGGAGCGCAAATAAGTTTTTATTAATTTAAGTTTAGAAAAACTTCGTTCACCGGAAGCTACAGTAACTGGAATCGTCAGCAATATTCTTAGAGATATCCATGTGTAAGGGAATACATCAACTAATTTCATATCGTGTATAAACTGGAGCGCTGATTTAGGTGATCCTTTGCCAATTGGTAAAAGTGTGCTCAGATGTTTAAGTTCACTGTAAAGCTCTACGGAATTTATATCAGCACTATCTCCTTCCGAGAGTGCTCCATGCAGATCTTTACAGCATGCCAAAAGATGTTCAGAAGATGGTAATTTTTCTAAATTGTACAGAAACCCCCATAATTGCTTATGGTTTTCAAATTGAGTAAATATTTCTTTGATAGATTCTCTGACTGTGTCTACAAGAGTGTAGAAAAAATCTCTTTTAAAACGTTCTTCGGCGCCAATCGAAAAATCTTGATCGTTGTTTTCATCAAAAAAAGTTTTCTTACGTCGTACTCGTACTTCTTTTATGATTGGGTCTATACCTAATGACTCTGCTATTTCTTTTGAAGAGTTTGACGCATCTGCGTACCCTGTTTCTCGATACTTGTTAATATATTTGACACAATTATCTAATAATGAAGAAGCCATTTCTATATCCATTGTAAACCCTTGCATAGATTTACTTACAATATATACTTGAAATAATAAATCATACCAAACATTTAATGAAATCAATACCTTGAAGTCAAGTAATTGATTTACTAAACTGCTGGCTTCATTTCTTGTACCAGCATCTGCCTTAGATGATTCCGCCACTTCAATTAATGCATCGTATACTTCTTTGGTTTGATATCGAATTGCTTTTACACTGTCTATGCGACTCTCCCAACGGGTTGTACACAATGGCTTAACCGTCAAGTTAGGTAAGTGTGATTTTAGTACTTGCCAACGGTAAACAGAAGCCGAAAATAAAACAAATATCCGTTGTACAATTCCAAAAAGTGTGATCGATTCTTTGGATTGCGAAGCTGCGTCAGATATAACGAGATTAAGAGAGTGACAACCACAGGGCATAAATGCCGCTTTAGGGTTTAAAGCTAAAATTATTGCTTGAACTCCTTTTTTATGACCTTTCATATTCGCGCCATTGTCGTAACCCTGACCACGACAGTTCATTATATCAAGCTTGTTTTCTCTTAGCGTCTTAAGCAATAACTCAGTAAGGCTTTCTCCAGTAGATTCACTAACTTCTCTAAAACCAATAAAATGCTCAGCTACTTGTAAATTGCCATTATTTTCGTCCACAAATCTTATAGTAAATGACATTTTTTCAGAATGGCTGACATCAGGAGTACAATCTAATATCACAGAAAAATATTTTGCGTCCTGTACTTTTTGCTGAATGGTTTCTAAAACTTTGGAGGCCATTAGATTTATAAGTTCATTTTGAATATCCTTACTGCAATAAGTTATATTGAGTTTTTGTGTAGTTATTCGATTTAAATGTTCTTTCATATAATTGTCATATTTTCCTAAAAGTTCTACTAACCCTAAATAGTTTACATTATTTCTTTCAAATAGTTTATCAGACGATCCTCGGAAAGCTAGATTGTGTTTGGACAAGTATAAAGTTATAGATATTAACCTTTCTAAAATACTTTTCCAATGTTGAACTTCTGTATTCATTACTCGTTGCAGGTCATTATCAATACATCTACCAAGTTTTAATCTTAATTCACATTCGTGCCACTTTTTGTATGCAGTAAAATGCTCAGGTGATTTTTCATGAGAATTAAGTGTTGTTGTCATATGTTTCCAGTCATTATTGCCTATTGTGGATAGTGTACTATGAGAACTATTAAAAAGTTTGCAACAAAAACAAAACACCCGATCAATGCTTTTAGAATATACAAGCCATCGTCTTTTAACTTTTTCATTGTTGTCTAATTTTCTTATTTTGTATATTTTAGAAAAATGACGATTATTTTCATCTTTGGGAAAAATGTCATCATTTATTTCACGTGGTCCCATCTTAATAACTATGTCTATAAAGTTATTCTGTCTGTTATCTGGCCATAAATTTGGGTCGAATAAATCAGGTTGAGAAATAAATGCAACGGATTTGGAAACATCGGTGACCGGTTTATCGCTTATCTCAACTGTTTTGTTCGCAAGTGCACTATTACTACTATTTATGTCAATATCAATATTATTATCATCACAAGGAAAATATGTTAAAGTAGGAGAGGTCAACGTTTCTTCATTATTATGTTTTATAGGAGTCTTAGAAATATTTTCATCTATACTATTTATTGATTCATTTTTAGCCTCTGATGTCGAAGTAGATGTTTCATTATTATGTTTTACAGGAGTCTTAGAAATATTTTCATCTATATCATTTATTGATTCATTTCTAGCATCCGATGTCGAAGTAGATGTTTCATTATTATATTTTACAGGAGTCTTAGAAATATTTTCATCTATATCATTTATTGATTCATTTCTAGCATCCGATGTCGAAGTAGATGTTTCACAGGTTCCACTATTACTATTAAAATATTTGTTCATAATTTTTGCATTTTTTTCTAATTGTAATTGAGCTTGAGCTCTACGCTTTCGATACTGGGCTCCTGAAGGTTTATCTTTTTTTGGCGGCATGGTATCAATTATTTTACCTACAATTATTTAATTATTTATATTTGAATATTTAGGTTAAAAAAAATAATATTTTATGATAAAATGTAAAAGAAGAGAAGACTTTTATTATAAAATAATATTATAATATCATATTAAATTGATAGATACTACGAAAACGTGTTTAAGTATTTTTAGTGGTGTATTGGTAAATATATTTATGGGTAAACGTACCAATAAAATATGTATGTAGGTTGTAGGTAACCTAAACGATCAAATTATATCATCGTATATATTATATAACGTTATTGCAGTTCAATTAATACATAGTTTTTAACATTATTTTATTAATTTTTTTATAATGTAACAATATAAAATAAAACAAAATCAACTCGAATGTCAAAAAAATTAAAATAATAATATCATTATTATTATAGGTACCTACCTACAATCTATAGAATTTTCCACAAAGATATTTTGTATTCAATATTGGGTTTTCTAAATTGAACTTAAAGTCTTAAAAGTTAAAATACGTTAAACACAACGCATATTGTTATATAACTTATATTCAATACCTTCTTCAATTGATAAATAATTCATTAATACATAATAACGAATAACGTTTTTTTCCTATATGAACTAGTACTATTAAATAAATTTTAAATCTTATTTGGTTTTCTGGTTATTTTGGAAGCGTATACCCGTAAAATAAGATTTTACATTGGGTATACGCCGAAAATCGAAAATCTTCTGATGGGTATACGGCGTATACCCTTGTACCCGTACCAATACACCATTATTTTCATAATAATAAATACGCGAATGTGCGATTCACCACGTTACATCGACCGTTGCGCCATATATTAATTATTATATATTAACATCATAATATCAATTACCAAAGTATATTCATAAAATATAATATTATTTCACACCATCACTGCCTATAATATAGGAATACTGTGTTTCACTAACTACTTATTTATTAAAACAACCAGAGAACGGAATTTATTGTAAAAAGAAACCAAAATATTATGTACAAATTTACTAAACAAAATATATGAATATTGATTACCTGTTGACTGTTGGCAGTTACTTGTTAGTTAACAATATTTGACAGCAGACCGTACGGAAACAATAAATAATTGTGTGTGTAGACAGTAGGCGTGTAGTGTACTATTATAGTCGGGTATTTTCGCCGTAGCCCGTAAGGTCCGAATGGGTTTTACCGCCGCGGTTTTTCTAACGAATCTAGACTTAATCGTCTAGACGTTTAGTTATATGAATTTATTTATAAATGGGTAATTATTATAATATAAAAATAATTATTACGACCATCTATAATATATTTTATTGACACACACAAATGCGGTGGTATGCTTCCATAGTTCCATGCATTATTTTTACATCAAAACCAGCGGTATCGATGCACATGCACTGCTATATTCTTATATTCTACAAATATGACTAAAATGAGACAATTGCAGATGCATCTTCTGATCTTCAATTAAAACGACATTAGATAATGAATATTTCAAATTGTATAGATTTTTAACGCGTTTTAAAAGATAAATCAAATAAAAATAATTTTCAGTTTGGCGCCCCTTCCGTGCTGGCGCCCTGGGCAGTCGCCCAGGTCGCCCATAGCTTTCGCCGGCCCTGGTTGTAGCAGACGGTACATGGTCTAACAGGTCTTACAAAAGTAACTACAATGCCCTTTCTGGTGTAGTAAGTATTATTATTATATTATATTTATATTATC